CTCGTTCTGGCTCATCGCTGCCATGATGTCAAGGCAATACTGTTTGTGGTTCAGGTAAGCCTTTTCCTGGTAAGCCGTTGTCTGCAAACGTTCATACGCCTTGCGAAGATCCGAGGGGCACGGTTTGAAATCCACGTGCGCCCGACCCCTGGGCTGGCTCCCGTCGAAGTAGCGCTTCGCCTTCAGACTCGGCGCAGGTCTCCCATTGAACTTCAGAACGATTTTCTTGAAGTCCCTGCTCAGCTGGTCACCCTCCTTGATGAACTTCACTAAGTCCATCCACGCGTGTAGAGGGTCACCGCCGACGCATTTTAGGTTCGGAGAGAGTTTCTGCGCCTTATGCATGTCCCACTTCTCCGGTGTATCAAAAAGGATAATCTCCGCTTGGCGCCTTTGCGCAAGCGTTGCGTTTGCCTTGATGAAATCTGAAAGTTCTGGAACTCCTTCGCTGTACCCTGGCTTGCAAGATACTGGCACGCCGTCCGCGATCATCACGTGTACGCAGTGGAACTCAGAACGATCGGAATCGTCCTTCTTCTTTCCGTGGCTTGTCTGCCCGACCACAGCTAACGTGTATTTATATGATGAACCGAAAGACATCACGCGGAAGCTCAACTCGTCGACGCACTTCTTTTTATGTGCCGCAGAGATCTGAACCCCAGCCTTGTAAATTTGCTCCCGCACTGTATTCATGGTAGGCACCGCGAAGCTCAGTTCGCTACCGTGCGATATGTAGTGCTCAATGATGCGGTCCCGAATTCGCAAGTACTTGCTCTGCGTGCGACTATCGTTGAAGGACACCACAAGGAGCAGAAACTCGGGAGTGACGCGGTAGTTGCGGGTAATCCTGATGCCCTGGTCGTCGACAGCAAAGCGGGGGCCGCGAACGTCGAGGATGACGTGAGCACGGACATCGTTCGCATTCCGCAAATTGTCGACCCCAACGGAATCACGGAGAAGCTGGGCGCTGCGTCCTAAGTAGCCTTCGCCGCCATGCTGCCTGGCACCCGTCAAAAAGGAAACGTTGATTTGTAGTTGATCCATCTTCGCCATGTTCTCGATCACCATCGCCTGGCGACCGGATGCGCCCCCAAGAACAGGTTCTTGCTGATGGTGCCAGTGATGGTCTTCGAGGAATGCGAGACGCTGGAAGTGGCGATTGGGGCAGTGCGGGCATCGCCAGCGATTCTGACCGTCCTTGCACGTACTAAGGTCTGCGGCGTTTACTTCTTCTTTCAATCTGCCCATCAGGTCTGCAGAGAAAGCAATGTGATTGCAATGCCGTGCGAGTGCAACGCAATGGAATACGATTGCCATGCAATGCAATGCAGTGCAATGCGATGCACTGCGATTGAAAGGAAGGGGAGGAGGAGGAAGATGAGTGAAGAAGAGAGGCATCGATGCCAGAGTCTTCTTCTACGACAAGAAAAGCAGGGGCACCGATATGCGCGCGCGCCCAGGAAGAACCTATGATGATACATAGCGTTCCAATCACAAGGAAATCCATCAAAAAGGCCTTGTTGTAATCATACAAACAAAGGGTCGCACGGGGGAGGCCTCGCCTGGTGCCCCCAGGGGCCGTGGGAAGCCTCTCGCCACACCTTGTGGAAACCAAGGGAAGCCTCCGGAAGGCCTCCCCAAGCCCTCGGGGGGATCAGGGGGAGGTCTCCAGGAGAACCAGAGGAAGTCTGGTGGAGGCCCCCTCCACCTCGCCGGAGGAGGGCCCGCTGGGAGGTCTGGTCGACGTGGAAGGGGGGCATCCCACCAGACCTGTTGGAGGTGGAAGGGAGGTCTGGTACCAGACCTAGTGGGGTCGGGGGTAACTGAAGACCCAACCCAGGCAAAGCAAGAAAACCAGCATGGAGGCGAACGCGGCCCAAGACGGCACCAAGATACCCCCCAGGCAACTCACGACGGCCCGAGAGGGCCCCTAATGTCCCAGGTGGCCCCATATTCGACTAAAGAGTGTCCCAGGAGGCCCCCATGACAACCCGACAGTAACCCATGACATACCACATGTTGTCCATGTGTGCCACGTGCGAACCCCAGGAGACGCAATAATGAGACAAGGAGAACGAAATGGAAGAAGGGAGGGTGACAACATGGGGGACGTGGGAAGGGGGAGGGCGACGACGTAGACGAAGGAGTGCGCCCCGAAGCGGCGCGGAAGAGCGCGTCACATGTTGCGGCCCTTGCAAGGCTATGGGCGACGACATGTCGCGCGTTATGGCTTTCGTGGCGGCGCTCGAAGACTCGCCACGCCGAGTGCTGCGCGGTCGCGGTGCGCGGGACTTGCCGCGAACAGATCGGCATGACGCACGCGCCGTGGTTTCTACCACAACCGCGCGACGCGTATGATTTGTCAACAATGTCGCGCCCTCCACGAGCGGACCGGGCCCTCCACCTTGAGACGTGCGCAATAAAACACCATCAAAACATAATGCGAGTGGACGAGGGGGAAAGCAACCAGAAGAGGTCGCGCGAAAGGTGGACAACAAATGAACAATGCTCACAAAAAATCACATGCGCAAGCGCCCAACGAAACAAACTTATAGACACTCCAACAATTTGGCGTGCCGCGAAGAAGGGAAAAGGGGCGGGGGGCCCGCGTGCCCACGAGGAACAAACTTAACGGCATGGTAATCGCTACTGGACACGCCGTCACGCAGAGCCGCTCTGACAACACACACGCACACGGGCGCATCATCGCGCAAAAGCGGCCGAACCACGCCGCGCGAAGCATCGCTGCGACAGGGCGATCCGCCCATGCAAAACACGCGCAAATGGCATCCGAAAAGAGCGTTACGCGCCGCGCAAACAAATACGGCGCGGTGCCGCAACAATCAGGCGGCTACGAATGTAAACTCCTCTGAACTGCGCGCGCGCGTCGTGTTAAACAGGCCGCGCCGCGCAGGCACGCCACTCGGTCTCGCGCCAGCACGTCGAAGGGAAGGTCTGCGGGAGACGCTCTGCAAGTGGCAATGAAGCAACCCCACGAGAACGCGATACATGTGAAATCGAAGCACGTGCCAACAGTAACCGCGACAACAGAACAACCAACAAAAAAATCAGTTTAAAGAAACATCCATAACTTCCGGTTGCGGTGGTTTCTTGCGCGGTCACAATTTCAGAAACAATCCCTTGGAAATGGAAGCGGCAAAAAAAACGACAGGAAACGGCAAAGCAACGGCTCCAAGATTGGAACCGGAAAAAAAAGGCGACGGAACTGGCAAACAAACGGCGTCGGAGCCGGCTAAAAAACGGCAAAACGGAACCGGTAATAAAACGGCCGTGCCGTTTCTAGGGCCCACTCAGGGTAATGGTCCTTGCAGGGGACGCAACTCGATGACCCAAGAAGGGCCCAAAAGGTGCCCAAAACGGCCGCAAGAGCGCCAAAGATCGACCCAAGAATATCTCACGAGGAACCTGAGAGGCGATGGTGATGGTCCCTGCGGGGGACGCAGCTCGAGGACCCCCACCTTTGTGATCGATGGCCTCCAAGATGGCCCCAACTGGCCCCCCCGTGGCTACCGAGGCATCCCCAAGAGGGACCCAAGAGGGCCCCAAGACGGCCCCAAGACCCCCCAAAAGAGCCCCCAAAGATCCCCGAGATCCCCCCAAAAGAAACCCAAGAGGAATTCGACAGGCGATTTTGAAGGCCCTGTCCTCGTCATCGTTGTCCTCCTCCTTCTCCTCCTCCTTGTCTTTGCCCTCATCGTCTTCCTGTTTCTGTTCCTCCTCTTCTTCGTCGTCGTCGTCGTCGCGTCGTCGCCATCGTCTTCCTCCTCCTCCTCCTCCTCCTCCTCCTCCTTCTTCCCTCGCCCCCACGTGGGCCCAAGGAGTGGCCCGAAGAGGCCCTCCAAGGCCACCCCCTTGCTCTCAAAGATCGCTATGTTCACTTTTCTTGCCCGCTGTGTTTCACTATATGCGTTTGTTTCTTTGTCCCTCTCATGACAAGGCTTCTCAATAGGCTGGTGGGGATACACGAAGCGGAAGACTTCGCAATAATGAACCGCATCCATGCAGCCCAGAGTTCGGGAGTTCTCGAACCCAGGCCATTCTGGCGGTACCCTGCGTTTGCCCTCAGGCTGTCAAGACTTGTTCACCACCCGCTGACTCGCTTAAAGCAGTTGTGTGATCAGCAGCTTCGCAGAACGAAGCAGATGAGTTTAACTTGTTTCGAGGACGGGCCCAACTAGACTCCTCTCCCTTCTCGGCATCCTCCTTCTGCCGATGCTGCTCGCGGGCCCTCCTCCTGCTCCTCTCGCTCGTCCTCCTGCTCCGCAGGAACATGATGAGGAGCAGCGAAAACATTGAGAAACGGAGCAGGGGCAGCAGGATGAGGACGATCAGCAAGAGGGGCGTCAGCATCAGGGGTGGGTGAGGGGACAGGACCAGGAGCAGCACAGTGAGGAAGAGAACGCAGTGAGATCGGCACGGGACCCGAAGAGGGTGCAGATGCGAGGGAGGTCGACGACAAGGGGGAGGAGGAGGAGGAGGAGGAGGAGGAGGAGGAGGAGGAGGAGGAGGAGGAGGAGGATGCGAAGCACGATGAGGAGGGGGGATGAGTAGAAGGGGGCAGAGGGGGAGGTCGGGTAAGGGCGTTCTAGCTTCAGATGGCTCGGTTGGGCGGTCGCAGCCAGTGCCTCGGAGATCTTCAGGGTAAGCCACCCCGCTGGACAGAGAAACCTTGCCCAGCCTGGTGCTGTCTGCGGCAGGAGCCAGGCCCGAGATGTTATCACTGAATAGGAGGAGGGGAAGGGGGAGATATGGAGAGAAGGGGATGATGAGGAGGGGGATGGAGAAGCGGGGAGGGAGGAAGGACCAGCGAAGCAAACTGGCCGTCTGAAAGCATAATTAGGTACACGCGCTCGCCGCTTGGCCAGACAATCTAATGATGCACGGGCTGGGCAGAGGCTAAGGATCAGGATGATGCTTATCTGACCTGGCCCATCCAACGGCTGTCTGGGCGGCGGCTTTTGCTGCAGCCAGCACGGGTCCTCGGTAGCCGGGGCCCGTCCGGTCCCAAGCCTGCGAGCGTCTCAGGAATGCGTAGACCCGCTTGCCGCGCTCCTGATAGGGGCCCACAAACAGGCAGCGCGAAGCAATACGCACATGTGACCCCAGCGTGCTCTTCCTCCCACTCCCCCTCCTCCTCCACCTCCTCCTCCTCCTCCTCCTCCTCCTCCGCCCTCCCTCCTGCTCCTCCTCCTCCTCCTCCTCCTCCTCCTGCTCCTCTTCCTCCTCTCCCTCCTCCTATCGGGCGAGGGCTCGAATATGCCGCGATGCGAAGGACGAGCGCGCCTGGGGGTCTACCGCGCCCCCGGGCCGCACAGCCTCCGCCAGAGGACTGAAGAAGGCACCGGTCTGGTTCCTATCGGCCACCATATACCGCAGGGTGCATCGCGTCCAACATATCTGCTCGTCGAAGTTCGAAGAAGCGATTGAAATGGAGCTTGGCGGGGGCACGCTACGGCTGCGCCTCGATTTTGACCGCGTCAACCCAATTGTGAGCGACAGCCGTGCGCTGGCAGTCGAAGAACCACGTGCCACCATGTCTCTGAATAAGCTCGCCTGGTCTTCTTGCCGAGGACCTCGTTGGCGATCTGGCGCGGTGACTTTCCGGGGTCCAACTTGAGCTGAGCACGGCTCCAGCGGGAAGCTCCACCACGAACTGGCGCTGGTTGCCGCGCTGGCGCGAGTCTCCGGAGACCCTGGAGACCAGGCGGGAGGCGGGCACCAGCGCTTGAGAGAACGAGGCTTCGAAGTGCTGGCCCACAGATATGCCCCATGAAGGTGCACCTGTCAGGTGAGATGCCCAGCTTGCCGAGGAAATCTCCGACCAGCTGCTTGATGCTCGCTTCGCGGGCGGGCGCCGTGGAGAAGATCCGCGCCATCCTCGGGTCGACGTCGCGATTGGATCCCGTCGACGAAGTGTCAACAACCATGGTCTCGAGGTTGGCCACCACCAACTCGCCCTCGAGGAACTGGATGTCGCGGCCCAGCTCGGCGATCGCATACTGGCGCTCCTCGATGGAAACGGGTTTCTTCTTCGCGCGGAGCCTGAACCTGTCGAGCTGCTGGTGGTACTGCTTGAACTGCGTGGCGATGGTCTCTTGCGCCGTCGAGGGACGGATTCTCCACCAGGGCGGGGTCCTGGGCCATGCCCTCGCGCGCCACGCCGAACTTGGCCAACGCGGGAACCGGCGCACCAGCCACAGAAGCAACGACCTTGGACTCCCTGCCGTTGGCGACGGACTCTAAGAGCGAGTCGAGATTAGTACCGATGGCCGCTGCGACTTCGGTGTTGACCAACTGCCGCGCCTCGGCTAGGGGGACAGGTTTTGAGCAGGGACCGACCGCCCTGGCATTCCTGTAAGCCTACCACGACATGTTCTTAGAACCCCAAACATGTTGTAATAACAAAACAATGTTCTGATAACATAAACCCGATGTGCTGAAACAAATCAGTCCCAGCCAGAAATGTTCGAATAACATTTCGCGCAGACCACAACAGGTTCTTAAAACATTGTTTGGTAGGCCTATAGGCGAGCCAGGACGCTTCGCCACTGCTTGAAGCTGCCGCGCCTCGCCTGGGAGGGACAGGTTGTCGTGACTATCGAGGTCCATGGCCCTGCCACCACCAAACCTGAGAAGCTGGGCAGGAACAGTGCCAGCACCAGACGCCCCAGCAGCGGCGGGGCCGGACGCCGCCGAGGGGTCGAGAGAAACGTGGCGCTTCTGCTTGCAGTCGGACTCGATTGGACAGGACACGCGAGAGGACACAAGACCCTCCCGAGGGCCACATTGCCACAGGAATGTAGGAAGCATGGGTCGCGAGACACAGGACACAAGGGTACCCTTGATTTTGCAGGGTCGACCTACTAATTCTATATTCGACCTACTACTCTGGGCCGACTGTATCATCCTTCTTCTATTTGGCCTCCTTCTTGGGAGTCTCGGACAGGCCAGGTATGGGCCGGCCCCGCGGGAAATGAGGGGAGCGCGAGCTGACAAGTCACAGGCCCCCCGGGCGAGCCAACAGGTGACAGGCCCCCCGGGCGAGCTAGCAGGTGACGGCCTTTAGTCCACATGGCATGAGCCAAACTTGCTACGGATCCCACGAGACAAGGATGATAATGCTGCTTCTGCTGCTGAGGAGGAGGAGGAGGAGGAGGAGGAGGTGGAGAAACGGGAGGAAGAGGAGAAAGAGGAGGAGGATGAGGAGGAGGAGGAAGGGAAGAGGAAGAAGAGGAGGATGAGGAGGAGGAGGTTAGCGAGAGGAACGTAAGGGGAATGGATGCAGAAAGGGCAGGCCGGGAACGAGACGAAGTTTGGTAGAGACTGGGCGTCCCAGGCCTCTGCCTCCTCCGTAGAGGCTTCCCAGAAGGTTTTTGATTTGCTCGCGGGTGATCGCCTGCCAATCACTCCTGCCCGAAGTCGACGACAACGAGCGAAGGGCCCGAAAGGGACCGAAAGGGGGAGCGAGGGACGGACCCAGGAACCCAGACAAAGGACGAGCGAAGGGACCCGACCGAAGAAACAAGGGACACGAAACCTCGAGGGCCCCGAGCAGTGCACCATTCAAAACCGTCCAGGGACGGAGGCGTCAACACAGGACGATTAAACAACGTTTAAAGTTGAACACTTCAAACCTCCAACTGCTCCGGTCCCCCCGCCACTGCATGCCTCCCCCACCCAATCGCTGAGCACAGACAGGTGTGAGGGAAAGACGGGGGGAGGGCTCAAGAAAACAACATTCGAGAGAAGGGGAAAACTCCCATTCACGAATTTATCACTACGCTGTCTTCAGCTTGTCGTGACACACGAGCAGGATCAATAGTCCTGGCCACATTATCAAGGAGACGAGCATGATCGAGTGACTCCATCCAATCCAGCCTCCCCAGTGAAACACCTGATGGTACTTCACAAGAAAGCTGCACAAGTCAAGCGGCTGCGAGGCTAGCAACACATAACTAGAATGCCAGAACAGAGATCGATAGCAAGCGTAGCAGCCATCCAACCACATCCTTTCATCATCCTCATCATCATCCCACCCCCACCCAGCCAGACAAAAGCAGACGGAGGGGGGGGGGAAGAGGAAGCTCTCAGGAGTCCCAGTAGGCACTCTGCCTACAATATCGGCGCGCCATTGCCCGCTTCGTGCTGCGTGAGCTTCGTAACAGAGCGCACGCACGACAGCGAGGAGCTCGATAAGGAACACCAGGGGATTCGACAGCAGGAGGAAAAAACATCATCTGGAGTAGTGGCCGCGCAGAGGCACGGCTTGTAGATCGCCACCTTGTGCAGGGAGCCAGCGGCGGACACGCTGAACGTGGACGTCGCATTGGCGGTGCCGTCGCCATCCGGAAAGGCATCGCCAGGCGCATCACGATCTGGCTCCGAGGGATACTCGGCATGAAGCGAGACATCGCCGAGTCGACCAGCACGAACAGCTTCACGCAATTCGGCAGAGAGGTCGCCGCGAACATCCACGAGCCGCTCAGGAACTGGAGGCGAGTCGTCATCACGTGGACCAGCACGAACTGTTTCACGCGGTTCGGGAAGGCCACAATGAACGTCCACGAGTCGCTCGGCGGAAACAGCACCATCAGCGCCATGTGGAACATTCAGATCGCGAGTAGCACCTGCAGGAAGTTGAAGCCGATGATGGGGATCAGTACCATCGCGAGGCTGGTTCTCCTCCTGCAGGTTCGGCGAGACGACGCCACCAGACTGGCCCAGCGTATTGGCGAGCTCCGTCAGGAGGAACTCTGATTTGACACGGTTGATGTGCCGAGCGAGGGCGAAGCTGGTGTCGACGTGCTCGAGCCTCCGCCGCAACGACCGCTGGGAATTGTCTTTGAAGAGCGTGCGTGCGGCCACACCAAAGCCAGCGAAGTCGCGACCCGTGGTGTCGCATATCATGCGCAGAGCCTGGCCATGGAGGCGAACAATGAGTTCCTCGGCCATGGAATCAACCGAAGATCAAAACAAATCGAACCTAATACAAGGCGCGCCGCAGCTTGAGCCAAAATGGCCACGGACTCCTAGAAGGTTCGGAGTAGATGGGGTCGGAGGACCGCGCCGCATCGCTGATGCATCGACGATGCATCGGTCATGTATCGGCGATGCATCAGCGATGCACCAGCGAATGGGGTCGGAGGACCGCGCCGCATCGCTGATGCATCGACGATGCATCGGTCATGTATCGGCGATGCATCAGCGATGCACCAGCGATGCATCGTCGACATCGGCGATGCATCGGCGACATCGACGTGAAGCAGATCGGGCTCCGCATCGACCCGCATCGCCGATATGCGGCGCGATCCTCCGACCCCATCTACTCGGACCCATCTAGGAGGCCTAGACTCCTCCTCCTCCTCCTCCTCCTCCTCCTCCTCCTCCTCCTGCTCCTTCTCATTATCCTCCAGTATCACTCTCGCCGTTGTAAATTCAGGGCGTGCCCGACTCCTCGTCGGTGTCGTACTGTTGGGCAAAGGTCTTCCTCCGAAGTTGGCCATATGAAGGCGGGAGCTGTCGGAGATCCTGTCGGGGGCGCGCCTGCACGGACCCATGCCGGCCGAAGGTGTCACTCGCATGCGGGAGGTTCCCGGCGGCCCGTGGTCCCGGCTCCGAACGGGCGCGCGCTTCCGCCTCCTCGTCGTCTTGCTCCTTGTTCGCGTCGCCGAAGTCCTGCGAAATCAAGCCGGACACGTCGAAGCTGGGCAGTGCGACCGTGGGCCCGATGTCCTCCTTCCCCTCGCACGCGACGCCCAGGATGCCGAGGCGAAGCGTGCGCTCGATGTCCTCCTCCTCCTCCCCCTCCTCCTCCTCCTCCTCCTCCTCCGCCTCCTCCTCCTCCTCGAGCGTACCCAAAGAATGTCCATAATGTCAGCTGCTTTCTGCACATGCTAAACCTCCTCGTGCTCGGTGTCCTTTTCGCCCTCATGGCGGGCGACGCGGGGCGCTTCGATTGCCTCTAGGAGAGCCTCTGTCTGGCTAGCTCCTTGCTTGTAGACGCATGCGTAGTCGTAGCTGGCGTGCCTGGAGTCGCCGTCGTAGGTTTTGGACAGTTCGTTTTCGGCGCTGGCGTAAGCGTAGCTATGCTTGTGGCCGTTGTTGGAAAGGTAATAACTGGCGCGTGACTGCCACCATGATTCCCGTAGTGTCAATGCCTTCTGGAGTTCTTCGATGGTGTTCTTCTGCTCGGCGGCGCGATCCCTTGTGCAATGCAACTGGTCGGTAGTGGCTCGTTTTGCCGCGAACTGACACGCCTGTCTGGCTGCACGAAGGTTCCGTGACCATGGGTTGTAGGTGTTGTCCTTCTGGTACAGGTTCTCCAGCACGGCTCAAGCTCCCGCGGGCGCCGCGCCAGCCCAAGCGCGGACGAGGCGGGTGCCGCGCCTAGGCGCCGCCCGAAATCCGAGGAGGGCCTGTCCCTCGCCAGAGAATATCCTGGGCGTGACGCCTCCTCCTACTCCTTGAGCCAGAACGGCTGCGGAGCCTCCTTTGCCTCCTCCTTTTCCTCCTCCATCAAGTCCCCCACCATCTCCACATTCTACTCATCTTCCTCCTCCTCCTCCTCCTCCTCCTCCTCCTCCTCCTCTGCCTCCTCATCCTCTTCCTCCTGCTCTTCCTCTGCATCCTTTTCCTCCCCTTCCTCCCCCATCAAGTCGCCCACCATCTCCACATTCTAATCATCCTCTTCCCTGTTTACCGATTTCTTCCTTCGCCTTCGCCTCCTTCGCCTCCCTCTCTGCTGCCCCCCCTCCTCCTCCTCCTCCTCCTCCTCCTCCTCCTCCTCCTCCTCCTCCTCCTCCTCCTCTAGATCCTCCCGCCCCTTCCCCCCGTCTTCTCCTGATCCTCTTCCTCCTCTCCTTCCTCTTCCTCCTCTTCTTCCATCTCAGCTCCTCCTCCCCTACCGCCTCCAGCTCATGCTCCTCCATTTTCCCCGCATCATCTCCCTCCTGTCTCTCTCTCTCTCCCTCTCTCCCGCTCTCCCTTTCCTCCTCCTCCTTCTCCTCCTCCTAACTCGCTGTTCCTCCTCCAGGTCCTCCTCCTCCCCCTTCTTCTCTGGCTCCCTCCTTCTTTTTCCTTCTGCTCCCCGATCTTCCCCTCACCCTTTTCGCCTCTCTCGTTCTCCTTCCTCGCCGGACAGCACCATCCCATGGGACGAGTTGGTCGGGTTCGTCCCCCTCTCCTTGAAGTACCCGCCAGCCAAGCGAAGCTGCAGCCAGTCCAGGTCCGAGCCTCTCGAGGGCTGCATGTCGTTCCTGTCCAGGGGCCGCCTCCACCGCCCCCCCCTCCTTCCAACTCCCTCCCGCTCCATCCTTCCATTTTCCTTCACCCAATTCTCCTCTCCTTCCATCATCCTTCCCTTCTCCTTCTCCTTCTCCTTCTCCTTTTCATCCTCCTATCAATTCTCCGTCCCCTCCCTTTTCCTTCACCCCATCCTCCCCCTCCCCCTTCCCTTTTCCTTCACCCCATTATCCTCTCATGTTCTTTCCTTCCCGGCTGCACGAGAACTGCCTAGACACATATTCAGAAGGACTTCGCATGTTGCCGCGAGGAGCAGTGGGACTCATAGAACACAAGTACCACCCCAGCAGTTTGCATGGAGGCAGCACAGATCACTCAAGGCACTTCTGTTTCGAACAAGATCAACCAACGTACCTCCAGCACGTAGCGGAGTGCCCACAAGCTGATACAAACGCAATTGCGAACAACGAATTATCCGAAACCCGGATAATCCAGACCTTCTCGGGCGCTCCCATGGTGTGTCGCGTGAGCCTTCTGGAAGCTGAGACACTCAACAAATTGTCGTAGAGGCCCCAACGGGCCCCAGGAGGCCCACAAGAACTATTCCAAACGTGGCCCCAAGACACTAACACTAACAGACAGGCCCCGGACAGCTGGAATCGTCAACTTCGTGATCCTTCTGAGCATATGTGTACAGGTGTGTGTATGTGTATACATATATAGTATATGTATGTTTGTATATATATATATAACCATATATGTATCATACACCCCAAATAGTGATTGCACTTAAGGGTTCGTGCGAATGGACAAAAAACTGGGCCTGAAGGTCGGTTTGGCGGCTATTAGCCGCCGTCGCCGCCCGTCGTCTTGGCCTGAAGGTCGGCCTGCCGGTTCCATGCTCGCTGTCGCCTGCTCGTCGTCGCCCGCCGTCTGGGCCTGGGTGTCAAGTGTCGGTCTGGCGGCCCCATGGGTCTGGGTGTCGGCCTGGCCGCTCCGCGCTCGCCGTCGCCGCCTCGTCGGCGCCTGCGATTCCACAACATAGATTGCACCGTAAAACCCCGATTCTAAAAAGGAATTGAGATCTCCACCCCGGTTTACCGTCCAACCTGGAGATGTGTTAATTACATGGCTCTGCCCTGTCGTTTTGTTTTTCTGTCGAAATATCAATGCATACCGCCCCCCAAACCAAAACACCATCGAACCCTCCCGTTGCCCTCGTGAAGGACTGTTCTGCGCGCGCGCCTGTCTTCGATAATCCATTGCCTGAGAAAACCGGAAACACATGCACACGGCCGCGTCGTCGTTGTTCGCGCGCGCATGGCAAAACCTTCCCGCGCGCGCATGTCGAAATCACTCGATCGCCATTGCGCGTGTGCGGGGGGGGGAGGGGGCGCGACCCCTTTCATATAATATCACGCGGCACGTGGACACCGTCATCGCCATCGGCATGATCATCGCCGCCGTCATTGGCCCTGTCGTAGTTGTCGTCGCCCTCGCCCCAAGCACCGCTATTATCATCGCGGCGTCTGCCGTCGTCGAGGTCGCCATGGTACCGCCCTCGCATGAATCACCGACTCGCACTGAAGTGCCCGCGCGCCAGCGCGGCCTGCGAAACGTGCTAAGAAGTCCCAGCGGTCAGCGCCACCGCGTCCGCGTCGGTCGCGCCAGACTACATGTTCGGAAATATTTCTCCTTACGCCACACCAAGGCCCCCAAAACAACCGAAAGACAAACGAAACCTTCAGGGCCGAACCCCGTCCGCCTCAGCGGACATGTGGTCCAAACGCCCCCCCCCATAAAATTCTAAATGGGCTGGCGCCTGCGAGGGGGGCCGTTGAGGTGATCCACCCCTCTGATTCAAAAGCTCTATGTAGGGAGAGTGGATGGAGCCTGAGTTGGGCGATTCTGTCTGGGACGTCCTCACAACTTGCCTGGATTTGGCTCTGGTTTGGCCTGTTTTGGCCTCGTTCGGCCTGGTTGGGCGGCGCGCACCGCCTGAGACATCCTCGCGATTTGCCTGGTTTGGGCAGTGGTTTGGCCTGGTTTGGGCCCGGTTGCACATGAGACGTCCTCGCAATTTGCCTGGTTTGGCCTTGGTTTGGCATTTGGCATTTTTTGGGCACGGTTTCGCCTGAGACATCCTCACACATTGCCTTTTTTGGGCCTGGTTTCGCTTGAGACGTCCTCAAGATTTGCATATTGTTGCCTTGGCTTGGGCCCGGTTTCGCCTGAAACGTAATCACAATTTGCTTGGTTTGGCTCTGGTTTGGCCTGGTTTGGGCCCGGTTTCGCCTGAGACGTCCTCGCAATGTGCTTGGCTTGTGTTGGTATTCGGTCGGTTTCCCCTAATACGTCCTCACACCGTGGATGATTTGGCAAATTCGGGGGCGTCCTTCGCTTGGACGTCCTCCTGGGTTGGGGGCAGTGTCGGCGCGGCTGTGGACAAGCGTCGCCTGCGGGGTCTTTGCACCGCCCATGGTTCGACCTGGCATCTTGCCCGCGTATTAGGAGACATCTCCGCAATTTGCCTGGCATCGGGCGTGGGCATGGCCCGACTCCATCCTAAACGTACCTATTGCCCTCCTCCTCCTCCTCCTCCTCCTTCTCCTGCTCCTCCTCCTCCTCCTCCTCTTTTCCCCCCTCCTCCTCCTCGTACAGATGTTGGCATGGACATCGGACGCTGTGTGTTCGGCCACTGTATCACACAGTGCAACCATGGATCACATAATGCCTGCTGTTATGCGGCATTTGACCATGCGGCGGCGTTAGGAGAAAACCTTTCCCAGCCTGTAGCTGGCCGTTCTGCGCGCGAGCCTGCGCGCGCAAGCGCAACCGCAGCGATGCGCCAGCCAGCGCCAAGCAATTATCGCAATCGCTGCCACATGGGTTTTGCAAACCGAGTGGCGAGTGGATGGGTGGGGTGATTGCGCGAGCAATGGGGCGAATTGCACCGCACAGATTGCACCACGTAAATTGCGAAACATGGATTCTCCTTCCTAAAAAGACAATAGACTCTACCCCCCCGGCGTTCGCCGCCCCCCTTTCGGGTAAATCATATATGCTTATGACCACATGTCCATCCTATATGTGAATTTACATTCTCCCCGGGGAACCGGTATTGGTCCCCCTGAGGTTCCCCTGTGAAAAACGATACGAATCCCTTTCCCCCCAAAAAAAGACGAAGTGCACACGCCCGCGCCGTCGCGCGCGCATGCCGAAACCCTTCAAAAACCTTCGGTGCCGGGAGGATTTCGCAATCGGGTTTTCTTAAAAACATACAAAGGCATTTGGTTTGGCAACACTGAGCTGCTAAACAAGCTTACGCGCGAGCTCTTGCGAAACCTTTAAAAAACCATAGGTTTATCATGATTTTCACGAAATGCTACCAAACGGGCTTCGTGCGCGCATGTCGAAATCTGTCGAACGCCCTTGAGCGTGTGCCGTCGCGAGAATCCTCTGCACAAAATAAGACGAAGTGCAGACGCGCGCGTCGTCGCGCGCGGATGCCGAAATTCTTCAAAACCCATCGGTTTCGGAAGGATGTCAACATCGTGTGTCCAAAAAAACTACAAAAACACAAAGTTTCGCAACACGGATTTTCAACAAAAGCATGCGCGCGCGCTCTTGCGTCGTCGTCGTCGCCGTCGTCGCCGTCCTCCCTCCTCCCGCGTCGTCGTCGTCGTCGTCGCCTACGTCGTCCTCTGTCTTTCCTCGTGTTCGTCGTCGTCGTCGACCTCTTTGGCGGCGTGGTCGTTTCCGTCGTCGTTGTCGCCGTGGTCGTCCTTCCTCCTCCTCCCTCGTCGTCATCGTCGTCGTCCGTCGTCGGCGTCTCGTCATCGTCCCTCCTCTTTCGTCGCCATCATCGTCGTCGTCGTCGTCCCTCCTCCCTCGTCGTTGTCGTCGTCGGCGTCGCCGTCCTTCCTCCTTCTTCGTCGTTCGCGTCGTCGCCGTCCTCCCTCCTCCCTCGTCGTTGTCGTCGTTGTCGCCGTCGTCGTCCTCCCTCCTCCCTCGTCGTCGTCGTCTTCGTTGGCGACGTCGTCGTCGTCGCCGCCGCCATCGTAGTCGTCGTCGGCTTCGTCGGCGTCGTCGTCGGCGTTGTCATCGTCGTCGTCGTCGGCGTCGGCGTTGTCGTCGCCGTCGTCGTCGGCGTCGTCGACGTCGTCGCCGTCGGCGTCGTCGTTGTCCCCGCGCACGGCGCGGAGGGTTCTACTCTGCCTCTGGCTGGGTGGTGCTAAGAGCCCCTATCTGGGGCTCGTTTCTTCCTTGCGGGCGGTGCTGCACTGAGCACCCGCCTTTTCCTTTCTGTTGAGAGGCTTGCCTCTCGGTGCTCGCGGCCAGCGCCCGAACGGACGAGCGCTCGCATCGGCGTGGAACGTGGAACGTCGTCGTCGGCGTTGTCATCGTGGTCGTCGTCGTCGTCGTCGGCGTCGGCGTTGTCATCGTCGTCGTCGTCGGCGTCGGCGTTGTCGTCGCCGTCGTCGTCGGCGTCGTCGACGTCGTCGTCGTCGGCGTCGTCGTTGTCGTCGTCGTCGTCGGCGTTGTCATCGTGGTCGTCGTCGTCGTCGTCGGCGTCGGCGTCGTCGGTATCGTCGTCGGTGTCGTCGTCGTCGTCGGCGTCGGCGTCGTCGGTATCGTCGTCGGAGACGTCGTAGTAGTCGCTGTCGTTGTCGTCGTCGTCGTTGTCGTCGTCGGTATCGTCGTAGTCGTTGTCGTCGGTGTCGTCGCAGTCGGTCTTAAGAGGTTTTGTAAACCAAGTTGCGGGTGGGTGGGTGGGATGTTTGCAAGAGCATGGGATGTGTCAAATCATTGGTAAAGATCAATTGCGCCGCATAGATGGCACCACGCCGATTGGACCACAGAGGTTGCACCACCTATACTGGACCATAACATGTGCAACGCTTTCATTGACCAACAGATATTGCACAACGCACACCTACACATACATATGTACACGTACACACATATGTGTGTGCGTGTGTGTTGCACGACCTGTACTGTACCACATAGGCTG